GGAAGCCATCAGATTTGAGGTCAGTTAAAATACGCAGATCCAGAAGATTCTCATCCCTGAATATCAACAAATCTGCTGTTGGTGTATTTCAGCACATCTTTACCACAAATTTACTGATTTATAACATTTCAAAATGTGTAACCTAACAAGAATGTACACTACCTTGAGATCAGGACTGGCGTGGATTAAGACTCAGGAGCCACTTATTCTTGGTCCATTGTGAACCTGTACAAAAATTAAAAATAGATCAATAAATTGTATCACAATCTTCCTAGTTCGGCATATGGATAGGTGCTACTTTTACTTGAAGAGATCTTTGAAATATTCACTACCCATGGGACTAAGTTAGATATGATCCTTACTACCATATAGGTTTCTAGTTTGTCAGCTTTAGTATGTAGTAGTATTGAAGAATGTTGAGCAGTAACTTTCAACTTACCTCCACCTACAAGGATTACTAGGGACATCGTACTCGGGACCTGTACTATTAAATGGACTAACACCACATTCAGCATGTTCTTTTCACAAACTATTCCAATATTCAACATACATGTCTTGCATGGCATGCAAAGGTTTACGGGCAGTTACATAGATTTCTGTTAAAAATTCCAAATACTGACTAGCATCTGAAGACATCAGGAGTGATCATGAAAGCATATGATAGGGAAATCTAGCCTTTATGAAATATTGAGGTCAATCTTATTTGGCTTCACAGGAGGTCCTAAGATGACAATACATCACGTTCAGTAAGGGAAATTCAGGTCCAATTGATGGATTTATTTTCATCCTATTCAGTACTATACCATGATCAATCCTATAGCTCAAAGAGCCATTATCAGCAAAGTCTTATCATACATTATAATTTCCTATCTTGGAATTCATAATGTCTAGAGTGTGTATTAACAATGTGATAAATTTCAAATTCGGAAGTTCTAAATGAAAAAAAATGTATTTCTAAAATTTGCTAAGTAAAAAAAGCAAGCAACTCCGTAACAATTTCTAACTGGTGAAATTAATTTAGCTTATGTCAATACATTCTCTTTTGCACCAAGATAAGACTTTTTACTTGTCTACAGGTTTGCTTGTCCAGATTTCTAATTTTAGACATCAAGCATTTACTCCAAATATTTGCCCTACCAATCAACACAAAGAACAAATCTTCCAATGTAATGGAACTTCATGGCAAAGTTGTCAAAAAGTTGGAAATTGGCAACTTAGGAAAATGAGACTTAGTGGCACATTTCTATACAAATTTATTCTCATGATGATACCAAACATACAATGATGTGACAATACGACACGGACAGAATATAAAATATGACAACGTCAGCGTGACATGAAATGAATTAAAACATAACAGGATCTTTGAAGACGACATCTATGTACAAGAGCTTGGTAGGTAGGTAGTTTCCTGTGGACTCGATGGGGAGAATATATCCAATAACCTGCAGTCGTAGGTTAATATCAGCTAGACTCCAACTCCTTCCTTCTATATATCTTCTTAGATTATCTATGTAGATGGGTATGAGTCCATTGAAGTCTATTTAAGAGCCCAGGGCACTTATTCAGGTTCATTCAAGGCTACCTGTCACCCTAATGCCCTGATAAGGGCATCTAGTTCACTTTGTAGACTGGTTGCTAAGGTAACTGGTAGCTATGGATACTCGATATCTGCCTGTCTGCATTTCTTGTGATATTTTCACTCACTGAGCCTACCTATATATATTTAAGAGAACAAAATACCTAGTTATTAGGACATAGCAAAGCATACATTCATGGTAATTGTATAACAAGTGATTAAACACCATAGACAGTCTTATTTAGATTGATCTTTGAGAATAGCTACTTGTTAAGTAACTTTGAGTAACTTTTGATTTGATTCTATTTTGAGGATGTCATTTACTCTACATCATAGGATTGACATTTTACAGAGTACTTACAGAAAACTATGTTGCCTAAATACTGTTCAGCGTCTGTTGTAGCCACCGCCATAGCCACCAGTCCCTCCTCCACTCCCGTAAGAGCCTGAAACACCATCTAATATGCCATCATTTCTACACTTAATACAAGGCCAAAATAACATAACAACAATAAGAGCCCAATTAATGCAAAGTTCTTTTTTTTTTTTCAAACCATGCATTTTACACTGACTTAAGGTCAAACTAAACTAACCCCCATATGGTCCCGATCCTCTTTGTGAATAGTTTCCACCTTTCATGACGCCACCTCCATACGATGATCCATAGTTGGAGCCAAAGCTTGAGTTGTCTCCCCATCCATTTCCTCCCTGGTTGCCACCATAGCCACCTCCACTGCTGTAGTCATTGTAGCCGCCCTGGTTCCAGTTGTCATTGCCATAGCCTCCTCCATAGCCGCCACTCTGCTGACTGTAACCACCACCATATCCGCCACCTAAAATGGGATGAACATTATTCATGAGTATTTCAAGAAGTAACCAAATAACATTCAACTTATGTCATCCTATCATTTCATCCTATTTTCCAGGAAAAGCAGCTGTACATTTCTGGTGTAAGAACCAATACCTTGGTTGTAGCCATTTCCATAGCTGTCGCCATAGCCTCCGCCTCCACCGTAACTGCCACCCTGTTGGTAACCCCCACGACCTGCAAATAAACCATGTCAGGGATAATGTTAAAGGCACTTATGCTAAGGAATCGACTTGTGTCAAAGATATCCTTTGAGCCAGTAGCATGCCTAGCAGCAGATGTAACTAACATACTGAGCAAATGGGCGTGCTTTTCCTGGAATTAAGTAACATTCCGGCATTTGCAAACAACTCTTGCAATCAAAACTTACAGCCTGATTAAACGGATGATTTCATTATGAACCATAAATCGTAAGGCAATCTACAAGCTAAATTACCTCCACGGCCACCCCGACCACCTCCGCGGGCACCTCCCTGGTTATCTCGGGATGTCGCCTTCTTTACCTCAACCTGGCGGCCATTTACTTCATGGTACTTTTTCACTGGGAAAATAAAGTTATTTTCAACATCACCATTAACCTTGAGTTCACATGAGGGTATATTGAATTAGACAATTAACACAAATGCTGATCTATTGTAATAAAACATTTTAATCAACAAGCATTTAAAATCAAGACTAGTTATATATTTATTACTTACAGACAGCTTTGTCAACACAGTCATGGTCATCATAGGAAATGAAACAGAAGCCCTTGGGTTTGCCTGTGGCCTTGTCCATGATGAAATCAACTGAAGTTACTTCACCAAACTCTGAGAAGACATCTTTCAACATTTCTTCTGTGAACTCTTCTTTGATTCCACCCACAAACATCTTCTTGACCGACTGCTGAGATGAACCACCTCCATCCTAATGAAAAAGAATTCGCCAAAAATCAAATTATATAGAGAAACACATAACAAGAGATTGCTATATCCATGACATTACTATCATCTTTTACAGGGACTAATGAAAACATTATTGACATTAGCTCACAAATTAAAAATATAATAAAATGCAAAATTACACACAAAAACCCATCCAAATGCAATTGAAAAATTTAAGTAACCAAAGCTCAAATGGGTTGATTACTGAGTAAATATTTAGATCTTAAAACAAAAAAGACATTGCATTAAAACAATGGTGGTATACCTCTCTGGGCATGGCACGCTTTGTTTCCACCTCTCGACTGTCAATAACATGGGGTCTGTTGGCCTGAGCAGCATCAATTTCAGCAGCTGCCTTGTATGTGATGAAGCCGAAGCCTCTTGATCTGTAAGCAAAAACATGCATCATTGACTTGCAAAAAAGGTAATACAATAGGTTATTGACAATCTTGTTAACTGTCTTTGAACAATTACAAAAAAAACTCTTAAATTTGGATTGATGCTTACCGTTTTGTGTTTGGGTCCTTCATTACAACACAGTCGACAACATCGCCCCATTGTTCAAAATGTGTTTTCAAGCTTTCGTCTGTTGTCTCGTAGCTGAGACCACCGATGAAAAGCTTTCTGAACTGTTCATCTTCGGGGTCCGTTGGGTGCTCGCGGGGATTTCTCCTCCCACCACGACCTCCGCCACCTCCTCCATAGCCGCCGCCACCGCCTCCGTAGCCGCCGCCGCCACCACCAAACCCTCCTCCTCCATAGCCGCCGCCACCGCGGCCTCTTCCTCCTCCCCGACCTCTACCGCCACCAAACTACAAACATAACAAGCATGGTTACAAAACGTGGCAACAACGATCTTGTATAACTTAGTGCGACAAAGCAATAGTTATTGTCGAGTCTTTTCAACGATATGGCGAAACCGGAAAAAGCCAGACTTCAACATGGTAGTCTAGTAACTACGGCGGCAACTCGCACATGCGCCCTTTGTTCTAGAAGGATCACGTGTTTTCACAATCTCTCAATTGCAAATTAATCTCGAATTTAAAATAACGTAAGCCATCAATGGCAATAGAACACGAAACAGTACTAAATAAATGCACAATAAATTAAGAATGGCGAGGCAGTAACTTTTAAACAAGAGCGCAATATCTATCTAAAGTAGGTCATGATGCGAAGCCATTTTGCTCGTCTCTTCCAAGAACAAAGACCCGGCGAGCGGCCTCGGTTGAAAAATGCAAAATAACGCTGAAATACGCGTGTAAAAGGAACGAAATATTAACCAAAGTAATCACTAGAATATAAATATACTCACGCCACCCGACATTGTCCTAAGAAGTTTGTTAAGGAATAAACTTAAGAGATTTTTCTGATCAGAGAAGCGCTGTTACTGCTTCCTACACGTGCCCGGTTTGAAATGGCAGAGGTAGGGTCACGTGATGGATGATGTCATCTAGAATCAGCATAAATTGTCTTTTCTTTCCCAAGTTCATCCCGGTGAAATAACATACTTTACTTATTCCTTATATGACACAATTTGGATATTTATGAGAATAAACTATAATTTATTTTCGGAAATGAAATTTTAATTCATATCACGAAAATAGCCGAGATGTTTTCCCGCGTAAAACATCGCAAAAATTTCCCGGATGTGTAGCTCGCGCTTGCGCAGTTTGTTAAAGGAAATCGCGGCATTTCAGCTTTGAGGGAAAGTAACATCTCAAGCATGTAAGTTTGAAGTAAATAGAACGGGAAATAGATTAAGCTTAATTACTGAAATGAAAATATTTCAATACAAAGAATTCATTCTCTGTGGTTTTGATTCTGCTTAACATACGTTTACGGCATAGGTACTGAATTTGCATGCTTTTTGTGTTGCATCTCGCTCAAAATGGCGCCTCACGTTGTCAACAAAATAGCCGGTTTTCAGCTGTATTGAATGAAAACTATTTCTAATCAAGAGAAAATAAGAAAGTCAGAAATAATGTCCGCACGTGTAAAGATATGTTCATTAATGTGCGTTCGTGGTATTTTGAAAGCTTCCTTTCCCTACTCAAGAGTTTCCCTCATTTTGTGACGAGCGTTGACAATGAAATATCACAACGTGATTTTAAGTGACATATAGGGTATAGCCTATGTCAAATGTACGTTACCTATTGAACCAGCCATGACTTCAGATTTTAAGTGTTGTTACCATTTTACTTAATTACTGATATTTCACGATGTTGCATGGATTAATGAACCTTTCACGTGCAATGATTAAAAAAACCAAGTAGAAGCAAGCTAGATCTACCGTCAAGCCATAAACACATGTGACAGACCACTGAAACTTCAAAAGACAGTTAACAGAAAAGAGATAATCTTTTCAAACTCCAAGCTGGATAAGCTTTTCATAAATTATAACATTGCTAAACAGCTATACAATTGTCAAGATGATCAATTCATTTTGTGTCTCATGCAATTAATATGTTCGAAAATTATTTTGTTTATATAGGGTGCATACCCTGCTAGACCTATATGAACAAAATAATACCCATGAAGCTTGGTGCTTTCGTGTTTGCAAACGAATAGGGATAGGACAAAGTAGATCTTGTGAAATAGATCATGACCTACTAGGGAATGTTGTTGCTTTATTGTTCTTGCATGCTAATAATCACATTACATGTCTTTGTCATTTTCAATTGTTTCCTCTGAGCAACAGTTGTCACAACATCTAAATTATGAATGTGCTGAAGCAACCATTTACTAACAATATTTTATATTGTTCATTATCCGGGATATTGACTTTGTCATCCAGTATTTGGTAATGATATGAAAGAATGTCCTTGTGTCATTTGTCTCTAAGAATCATAGACAAGTCAAGGAACTAGTTATGCACAATATATAAAATGCTATATACAGTTAACATGGTTAGTTATCCATGGAATTTGTATATATTTATTGTTTGCACTTATAAACATTTTTATATGAATTGAGAACTTGTGATACTGATGCATTCTAAATAAAGGTATCCACTCAAGCACTAACCTAATTAGCCAATATGTCTCTTGTTACCGCAGTACAATGTCTTGGCTAAGGGAAGTTGAGTGCATTTGGTCTCATAAAATGCAAGCTTGATTGCAGCCTTCAATTATCTAATGGAGGCTTAACGTAATATATTCCAGAAACCTGTTCAACTGGAATAGGAAAGCATTGTCCCAGTTTATATCTGGGTTAGAACAAACCTTTTTTTTTCATGTTTCCTTACTGTTTAGCCTTATTACCATATTGACTGTTGAATATTCTGCCTATCACTGATATTTCTCTTTCAAACCAGAACAACAACTGAGACCAGAATCCTTTCAACACTCCAGTAACCAAGAAACATCAATATGGCAGGTGAATGATAATGATACAAATATGGACCTTGTGTTTCCATGTTTGTCCTATTCTATAACTATTTAATCAGGTCATTTCTATACTTCTATTGTCTTAACACAATATAGGAATTAATGTTAAGGAAATGGTTTGTGTCCCTGTACATTGGGAAAGGTAATTAAGGATTGCTCATGACAGTGACACCTAAGGTATCACAGATGAAGACGAGCAATCATTAATTTAAGATATGTAGCATGATTTGTTTAAACAATACCACCAAGTATTTAAGTGTTGCAAACCATGTTATAATTGTACTTGTGGTGGTATAAGTAATTAACCACAAGCATGAGTCCATTTCAGTTATATTATTGGAAGAGTTAACTCCCTTGAAAAACCATGTTTTAGAGTTAGGTGTTAACACAGCTTTGAAGTGCCAGACATTTTTTCAAATATCATTTAAAGTTTTGCTCCTATAGTATTTGAATCTAGGGCCCCTTTCAAATCTAACTGTAGCTTTAGGTATAGATAAGTCAAAAATGAGTGAACTTGTTAATCTCATAAGTAGAGTCGTAGTGTACGTTGTATTCCTGAATAAGTTAATGGCAACATTGTGTAGAAAAGTCATTTGACTTGTGCTTGTATTAAGACATGCCCATGATTGAATTATTTACAAACATATTTCACATGTCATTCTCTAAAACCCATGTCCAAGAATTTATGAAGGTGCATTTTGGCATCCTTCATACCTTGTCTGAATTCAGTGAACATATTGAAATAAATCCAACAAAGGCTTAGAAACATTTAATGTTCAGTTAACTTTTGAGGCGGACTTAAAAGACCAAAGTGTATCTATCTTTATTTCATTATACTGAAACCAGGAAGCTGAACACAACCTGCCCGACTGTCTGGCAGATAATTTTGAGACTATTTAAGCATTCTGTTTTATTATAACTCCTAGATTCTCAAGTTATTGTTTGAACTTAGTCAAGATGTGATTTGTCGCTTATTTATTACAATTTTTCAATATTTATGAAGTCTGAATGCGGGCAGGTAACTTTGAAGATGGACAGGCAACACTTATGGGTCACCTGCACGACTGACTTGTTGGGTTTTGAAATTATTTCAAACAGTGCGCAAAAGCTAATTTATGGCTTTGTCAGGTTTTTCACTGAAGACAGGGCAAATAAATAGGAGGTTGTTATGCTAAGTTATGTATTATTGCATTGAATGCAATCTAAAAATATAATATTAAAAATGGCTTAATTTGCGGGAAGAGGGGACCTTTTTCTTTTCTTTTAAAACCATTTTGTCCAATTTGCCTGCCTGGGGCAAAACCAACATCTATGTGGTTCAGTTACCATCTCAGATTATCAATTTATTTTGAAAAAGTGACTAATATCAGATAGCAGGAAGTTAAGGCAAGGAGAGCATTCTGCAATGTGAGGCTGTGAGCATGGCTGCTTGGGAATTCATTGGAGAATATAGTGGCTTGTAAACTTTGGCATGATTTGTGTTCTTATGCTTCCATATCAATTTCGATTCTTTTTCTGACATCTTGGTATTTGATTTGTTAACATGTAATTGTGTTAAGAACACAGCTTTATGGAGCTAGATTCAGATCCCATAAACTTGTGCCTGTTGTACAAGACAACCTATTGGGGGATTTGGAAAACTCATAATATTAGTCGCTAGTTTGTCTGATCCAGACTAGACCAGGCTGCCATGGTATGGCTGGAATATGGCCGACTGCCTAATTAAACAAAATTATCCCACCCAAGGCATTGAGCAACTGCTTTGCCTGTCCAATGAGGATATTGACCCAAAGGCTGTTTATCTCATTTGTGTATTCACTGCCCACTGTGAAGATCTGGGTCTTCAGCAACAATGCTTGTTGTATGAGGTGCGACTAACATGATCGGGTGGTCAGACTCACTGACTTGGTTGATGCATGTCATTGTTTCCCAATTGAGTACATCGTGGCACATGTCAGTCACTGTTTTGTCTGGTCCAGACTTGATTATTTACAGACCGTCTTCATATAGATGGGTGTGGCATTTAACATAAAACATCTAACAAACACTGCCCTTGAGGATCTGGTGCTACATAGGTTCCCAGTACACCATGCTGGCACAAGTCATGAAGGGGACTTTAAAGTCGGCTAACTCTCTTGCCTCGTGAAGATGAGCATATGTTATCACCAGAAAAGACTGCCACAGGGGATGTGGCTTGTTGCTGTTGACCACTTGTTTGTCCAGGTTTGATTCCTGACAGGCTTTCATGATTAAGTTCTATTGATGTCTACAGCATAAAGCATTTAGTCACTGATGTCTTTCTTTTGTTAGTGAGTTGACTGGAGTTATGTCCCAATGAAGATCCAGGTTAGAATTTGTCTTTGGCAACCAATGCTTGTAAGCAGCGATTTACAGCGTCAGGTTGTCACTCACTGACTTGGTTGATGCTTGCCATTGTATCCCAGTTGCATCGTTCTTGTTCTCGATCGTTAAGATGATCCGGGCTAGAATAGGTATTCAGCAACCCATGCTTGTCGTAAAGGGCGACTATGCTTGTCGTGAAACGCGATCGGGTGGTCAGACTCGCTGACTTGGTTGATGCATGTCATCGTATCTCATTTGCGTAGATCGATGCTCATGATATCAATCACTGGATTGTCTGGTACAGACTCGATTATTTACAGACCGCCGTCATATAGCTGGAATATTGCTGAGTGCGGAGTTAAACAACAGACAAACCAAAAACCAACTCGATTTCAATCCCTGGATTGTCTGGTCCTGGCTCAATTATTTGCATCTGTCATACAGCTGGAATACTACTGAGTGTGGCGTAAACAACAAACAAACCTTATAAGATTCTCTCAATTCTCAAAGTTAAATCAATTATCAATATTGGAATAACAAGATACCAGTTGATTAACAGTGTTTGATCAATAAATTTTGCAGCACCACTAACAGTAATGAGTAAGAAAACGAAGAAGGATGTTGGCGAGGATGGTGTTGATGCTGAGGAGGAAGAGGAGGAGGAGTACACGGTGGAGAAGGTTGTTGATGGGAGAATGAGGAACGGAAAGAAGGAGTACCTCCTCAAGTGGAAGGGGTATCCAGAGTAAGTGTCTTGTGATGCAGCGCTACAGCATCCTTCATCTTTTCTGTAGTTTTCACCCATGAAGATCGGGTTAGAATAAGTCATAAGCAACCCATCGTAAAAGGCGACTAACGGGATTGTGTGGTCAGGCTTGCTGACTTAATTGATGCATGTTAATGTACCCCAGCTGTGTAGAACGGTGTCCGTCAATTACTGGATTGTCTGGTCCAGACTCAATTATTTACAGACCATCACCGTATTGCCGGAATATTGCCGAGTGCGGCATTAAACAATAAACATCTCTTACTGCCTCAGTACGTGGCTTTTAAGATTTGAGTTTATCAATTTCAGCTCTGAAAATACATGGGAACCAGAAGAAAACCTTGATTGCCCTGACCTCATAGCAGACTACGAAGATAAGAGGAAAAAGAAAGAACAAGAAAAGAAGAGAAAGCAAGCAAATGGAATGGATGATGGGTCAGCTAAGAAGAAGAAGAAAGTAGCTGAAGTAAAAACTGCCCCCGTATGTTTCGTTAAAGTGCTTGAAATATACAATGTTAGGACACCTGAAATCAAGGAAATCAGAACTTTTAGAAAAGCCAAGTTTTGCTTCAATTGACTGCCATGGGAATCTGGTTTGGAATCCTAGATAAATCCCTGATATCTTTAGTATGTGGTGTCGAGAACAGAACACAAATGAACTAATGATTATGATCCAGATCCTCACACTTTTCATCACAAAGACATGTTTAGTAAAATATCCATGTCCCTTGCAGGAAGATGACAACAAACCTCGAGGCTTTGACCGTGGATTACAGCCTGAGAGAATTATAGGAGCAACAGACAGTAGTGGGGAACTTATGTTCCTAATGAAATGGTAAGCATCATTTTTCGGTACCTGTACACTGAATGGTGCAGGGACTCTAGATTAGAATACATGGGGTAAGAGAAGTTAACTCTTTCAACACCGGTATACCGACCTAGAAGCATAGTCCCCAGACTACGGTTTACCACCCAAGCCGTAGTCAGGTCAGGATAGTATATATTTTTATGAACCTACCTGTCATATCATTCATTTATTAAGAATTATAAATAGTATCTGTCATTGTAGCAGATTTCGGCAAGAAAGCGTCGTTGGAAACCAATTTTAATCCAATGAAATCGCTTGTTATAACTACGAAAAAACTCCAGGCAATGTTACGAGCTTGTTGATGAAGGAATAAGCTTTCTAGCAATGTGTCATATGCCAGTCTTCGAACGTGTCACGAAGCCTCGAAAACGGGTATTTCTTCATGTTTCTGAGGGAACAGCCGCTGTTAGGAAATGGGTGATGAGCAGATACTATTTATAACTCTTTTTAAAATGATTTTCCAATTATGTAAACAATGAAAATAAAACAGAAATAGGTACGTGGATTTTATGGAATCTTATATTTGCCGAAAATCGTCAGGTTTTCGCTTCCTTGGTCCTTAATCTGGACGTTAACGTGTTAGCTTACAATTTTTAATTATAACGAACTTAATTAAGTTGTAAATGCATTATTTTAAACAATGTGAAAAACGTAACTTTCATATTTATAAACACTAGGATCAGACCTTTCAAATGGTGTATAACATGTAGTAGCAAAGATATTTTACAAGCAGATATTTTCTTGGATAAATGTTGGCTTCATCTATCACACAAGAGTCTCTGGGAACTCGGTGTCCCAGCAGTAAACTCTACTGGTTGACTGGTGTTGAAAGAGTTAAACATGTCCCAGCTGTGAATTCAAGGCGGCGAAAGCCAAGATCTCATTTGATTTACATTACACCCGATCGCTCAAAAAGATGGAAATAATAACTTAGATGTAAGCTTGACATCTGTTAGATATATATTTGTTTCTGGTTTTTTTATTATTACTTTGTATAATATATGTAAACATTTGCTCGAAACGTCTTTATTTTGCTCTTTGACATGTTCATTGTGGACCCATTGTCGAAGTGTGTCCGAGAATTGTATTTTCAATAACATTGCGGGAAATAGTGAATAATGTTTCAATTTATCGATAAAAAATTGAAATGGAATATGTATTTCAGACATTGTGAAATGTGATAGATTTAATAAATGAATGATATGACAGGTAGGTTTATAAAATTATATACTATTTTGATGTGACTACGGCTTGGCCAGTCTACTGGCCTACGGTGTTGAAAGAGTTAAGTATGCATCTGCGCTGAATTTGTAAAACTTACTTTTTCTCTAATAATGTATGAAGACATCATGTAGTCTAAGATTGGTCTGTTATTCAATAAATAAATGACCCGTGAAGCTTCCGGGGTAGAATAGGTCTTCAGCAACCCATGCTTGCCGTAATAGGTGACTTTGCTTGTCGTAAAAGGCGACTAACGGGTGGTCAGGCTCACTGACTTGGTTGATGCATGTCATCGATCCCAATTGCGTGGATCGATGCTCATGACATTAATCACTGGATTGTCTGGTCCAGACTCGATTATTTACAGACCGCTGTCATATAGCTGAGTGCGGCGTTAAACAACAAACCAACAACAACAACAATAAATATTATTGAACCTCTGGTGTGAAGACGTAAGTATTTTAGAAACATAATTGAATGTAGCTTCTGCCAAAGAAATAAGCGAGAATGTCTTGATAAATCTGTTTGTCTGAGGGGTTCATAGGTTCAAAGTAATCATAGACTTGCAACAGTTGTGGTGCTACAATTGATCTGTGGAATGGGACCAGGATAGAATAGGTCCCCAGGGACCACTGCTTGTGCAAAGCGACTCAATAGGGTGACTGACTCAACTATTTATGTGTAAGATCCGGGGTTAGAATAGGCAACTTATGCTTGTCCTAAAGGGTAACTAACGGGATTGGAAGGTCAGCCTCGCTGACATGGTTGGGGCGTGTCATTGTATCCCAGTTGCGTAGATCGATGTTCAGGATGTCAGTCAGTGGACTGTCTCGTCCAGACTCGATTATGTACAGACTGCCGTTATGTAGCTGGAATATTTCTTAGTGTCGCGTTAATCATCAGACAAACGTGTAATTGCACCAAGATGGCGTGGATGTTCATATGTTCCCTTGATTTTGTTGCAGGAAGGACAGCGATGAGGCAGATTTAGTACCAGCAAGACAGGCAAATGTGAAGTGTCCACAAATAGTAATTGCTTTTTACGAGGAGCGTCTCACCTGGCATACACATAATGACAACGACGATGATGAGAAAGGAAAAGATGAAAACAAATCTTAAAACAACAGTTGGAGACAGTCATTGTTTTATCAAACTCATTGTGTATAAACATCGTTTCCATGGAAACTAAACATCACCATGGGGAAAGAGGGAATGTATTTTAACATGGATCTGTTGGCCCCATCAGCTGTCGTCATTAACATGGACGATTTTTTCACCGATCGTGACAAAAGAGCTGAAACTTGCATTTTGGAGTAACCTCCTTATAAAGGGAAGTCAAGACGGATTCTCTCAGCATTTCTCTGGATCTTAGCATCATTTGTCACAACCAAAGAAATCAAACTTTGTCATAGTAGTTTTCTATTAGAACATTGTGGACCGTTATGAAGACCGATTAGGGCTTTAAGATGAAAATTGTTGGCTTTGATGGTTATTATTGATTACGTTTTTAGTTTTGACCAATCTGGTAGCATTTTGTCTGGTACAGTGTTTTAATCGTGTTCAAAACTGTCAAGCTGGGAGAATATTTTTAATAATTTTTTTTTATGACAAATGAACCCACCAGTACTGTGAAGAACTTGAATCCTGTCATGGAATGCTGGTTTGTGTATGCATCATTCAGATTGTAAAGAAAGTGCTAATCTATCGCATCTTCCATCATTCATTCAAATCAGTTCTGTAACATGTTTCACCTTTCTGCAGATATCTTGTGAGAAGGTTAGGTGTTTGTGGCAGCTAAGATTCTGCCGTTTAAGTGTGTTCTAATTTACTGTCCACTTTAAGTTCAAGTCTCTTGTATGAATCCAGTTGTCATGATTGCATTTTGCCGCCGTGTTTAAGTGGTAAAGAGTATTAGGTATACTGGTTGCATGAAAACATTAAATCGTCCAGTATTCAGATATTTGGAGAATGTTAGACCACTCTGTCATTTGTTCAGGTGTTGATATGAATTGATTTTTAAGTCTATTCCAGATTGTCTTGTTTTTCTTCCTCGCTAGAGTTCATGTCAGCTTCACAAGTATGAGTTCTTGTATTGAGTTTATGTCGGTATATCTTGTTTTATATCATGTAAAATGTCACATACCTTTCACATTGTCAAAGACTTGTGTATTTTGGTCATCACTGGAGGCATTTGGTACCCCTCGGTGAACGTGGTCAAGGTTCCTCCTTGTGGGCAAGACTGCATGGGTCCTGGAAAGTCTCGTGATTTTGTCACTGGTCATTAACTGTTGGCCTCAATAGACTGACTTGGTAGAACAACCATTTTGGAGAAATGCAAGCATGGTGTATAGAACCTAGGAGAACGACTTTTGTGGTGATGTTGGTAGTGCATCAAGTGTTTGGACGTGGTTATTACGGTAGTCCAGGCAAGCTCTCATCAGCCAAATCCGTTCACTTACCAGAAGCATCCTTTCGGTTGATGCATTATTTACATTCCATCAGAAAAAAAATTGACACTAAAATATAGCCTGTTTGTGTACCTGGCAGTGACCATCTTTGTACATTTTTTAGAACGGAAATTTGATGAAAACCGATAAGCTTCTGAATAAATATGAAATGTGAAGTATTGTGTCCGTTTTCTCAGACTTGGGATGTCTCAAAATGGGCTTTGAAAGCAGGTAACTTCGAACTTGTAAGAAAAATATAGACTACAGTAATGCAAATGTATGAAATGCAGGTGTTTGTGACATCAAATTATTTAACATTTTTCTTTTTCACTACACCTTCACAACTCTCTTACAGGATTTCACTGTTGATTTGAATAATAAACCGAAGTGTTGATTTCTAAAACTATACTAGCGTTTACATTGTGGATATGTGAATAAATACAAAAGTGACGACTACTTAGTTGCATGTTGTGTGATATGACCTAATGTGGCACTGACAGATACAGGAAGAACATCGTGACGGTACACCTTCTACACCTGAACCTGAACCCCCATCTTGTCTCCGCAGCAACGGAAGACTCAGGAGTCCATTACTTTGACACACAATGGTACATCTATCAGCATGACCAGGGGGGTGCATTACATGATATAGGATGCAGCATTTACCTGGGGGAAACATTACTTTAGCTCGGATGCAGCATCTACCTGGGGAAACATTACTTTAGCTCGGATGCAGCATCTACCTGGGGAAACATTACTTTAGCTTGGATGCAGCATCTACCTGGGGAAACATTACTTTAGCTCGGATGCAGCATCTACCTGGGGAAATATTACTTTAGCTCGGATGCAGCATCTACCTGGGGAAATATTACTTTAGCTCGGATACATCATCTACCTGGGGAAACATTACTTTAGCTCGGATGCAGCATCTACCTGGGGAAACATTACTTTAGCTCGGGATGCACCGTCTACCTGGGGAAACAGCTCAGCTGGAATTTGCAGGCTCGATCATAGCACCACCAGTGGCTATTGCATGTTTTGTCTCTTGGTCTTCAGCAACCCATGCTTGTCATAAGAGGCGACTAACGGGATCGGGTGGTCAGGCTCACTGACTTGGTAGATGCATGTCATCGTATCCCAATTGCGTAGATCAATGCTCATGATGGCAATCACTGGACTGTCTAGTCCAAACTCAATTATTTATAGACAGCTGCATATAACAAACATAACAAACAAATCAAATACAACTGGGAATGCCTAGAAGCATAAGAACTTCCCTCACCCAGTCTATATCATCAAGGAAACATCTTTTCCAGCAAGAAGTTAATTCTGATTTGTAGTAAATCCATTATTTGTAATATATCTAGGGCTCACTTGCAGAAGGCTGCTGTGTACTAATGAAGATCTATGCCGGACTCTCGTTATGGAGAGTAACTTTGATTGGTTGTTGAGCTCAGGGTCATCAGCTATAGAAATTCTGTGTTAGGGTAACTATACGGGAGATAGATGGTTGTGTATTCGGTCCAGGGTGTTTACAGCATATTGGAATGGAGATGATCGAGGATGACTGTTGTAACTCCCTGTATAACTGACAGCCATTCTCAATCTGGTTCTGATGTCTCTTTAGGTCTATTTCTACCCCCAATACTTCATTTCCTGGTTAGAAGGGCTTTGTTCAGCTATTTCCGTTGCTGACGTCACTTCTGGTTTCTCTATCACTTCTGGTTAATGGTGATAGATAACGTTTAAGGTGCTTCTAATCCATCCTACACCTATAAGCAGAGTAATCAAGGGTGTACTTACCCTCTGATACTGCTGGTGTCGGATCCTCGAACGCACACACACACACACACATTGGTTTTTTTTAGATTTTTGATAGAAGGGGTGAAACTATTGTTGGAGAAGGGGTGAAACTATTGTTGGATGAGGGAATAGATGCCCTGCAGGTCAGGGCTGTAGGCGCCACAACTTCCTGGTTGTTAGATGTAGGCTGGACAGATTTTCTGCTAGGCCTGGGCTGTCGTAGCAGCTCCCGACAAAGTAACTATTGGTTCCTCCATTGTTAGCTAATATAGTCTGGTGAACCAGGCAATACTGGATCTATCAATATTATTATGCAATCCGTCTCCTCCACCTTGTGGATGACCTTGTCTAGGAGAGACTATGGTGGGAATGCGTAGCCGAATAGATTCGTCCAATCCATCGAAAGAGAGTCGATCTGGTGACCTCTTGAGTCTGGAACTGGACTGACATAAACTGGGAGTTGGTTGTTCTGGCAGGTGGCGAATAGATCTGTGTGGCATGTCCCATATCTTGGTTATCCAGCTGAAGATCTGAGGATGTAATGTCTATTCTGTTGCCACTATTCTCCCCCAATGTGAGAGGCTGTCAGCCAGTATGTTCAGATTCCAAGGCAAACAAACGTGTAGTCTCCATCAGGGAGTTGGATCTGGTTCCTCCCTACTTCTGAATACATGCAACAACTGTGGTGTTGTCAGTGGCTATGAGAACTGATGATAGATGAAGTTGTGTTCTCTATTCGAGGATGGCGTAATGAATGGCCTTCATTTCCGTGCAGTTGATATGAAGGCTCTTCTCTGTATTGCACGATCCGTGTACTGTGAGCTCGTCCATAGGGACGCGTCTGTGAATAGATGATGTTCTGGCATCGGATAAGTCAGAGGGATGATTCCACCAATGGAGGTCTTGCACCATGGGGAGGTAACGGAGACTGGAACTCAAGGCCTTCAATCGGATAGAGTTTACCCATGTCTGTAGAGGACGTAGCCTCCGCCTTCCTCTGAAGGTCATATCCTGTAGAGATGTCAAGTTGCCTTGCAGAGACATCCACCACCTCAGCGACTTGCTTGATTGACTTGACATTGATTGGATCATCTTTATAGTCTTATCTTCTGGTGGACATAGATATCCCCTGTCTAGCTGGAATCCTGCACTCCGATGTATACACAAAGAAAAAGGATAAGTACACCCCTATTTCTGAACCTTGACAAATGGCAAAAACCATGACTGACCACAGGAGCTGGACGACACAAATGTCATCGGATAGAACAAACATTTGACAAGAAGATATTGGTGAGTTGTAATTGAAATTTACAGACAAAACATCATGGTAACACAGGTATTGTTTTCGACCTTACACAATACCTAAAAAATGTATGGAGCTGCAGGATTAAGTAAACAAGTTACATTTGATTTTTCATGTGAAAATGTTCCTTAAAGTCTCTACTTGACATGACACAGATCAGTAGCGGGTATAACTGCCACGTACCCGGATGATGCATTCCACCCTACGTCTCATGCCTCCAGTCAGACGTTGGATCTGTTGATGGGTCAACAACAACCACTCCTGATGCAATGCTGCTTCCAATTGGCGTAAATCTTGTACAGGAGGATCTCGTGCCTGTATGCGCCGCCCCAGAATATCCAAATCATGTTCATGGGGGTTCAGGGGCGGTCGGGTAGCCTAGTGGTTAAAGCGTTCGCTCGTCACGCCGAAGACCTGGGTTCGATTCCCGACATGGGTACAATGTGTGAAGCCCATTTCTGGTGTCCCCCGCCGTGATATTGCTGGAATATTGCTAAAAGCGGCGTAAAACCAAACTCACTCACTCACTCATGGGGGTTCAAATCTAGGCCCATTGCTGGCAAGGGTAGAGTTGTAATTGAATTGGCCCTCATGTAATCAACGACTGCATGCGAACGATGAGGCCTGGCATTGTCATCCATGTACTAAGGTCAAGTAGCAAGAGGGTGTTTGTCAAAATGAGGAATGACGACTGGCCTCAAAACGTCCTGGATGTACTGAGCCCCGGTTAAGTTGCCCCTTATGGTGACCAAATCCAACCTGCAATCATGAGAGATACACCCCCAAACCATTATCGAGCCCCTGCCATATGTAAAAGTTGGTCTAATGTTCCTTGGGGTGTAGGCCGTGTTCCAGTGCCTCGAAACTCCTGTTCTTCCATCAGTGACGTGGAGCAGAAAGTGACTTTCTTCTAACGAATGGATCGCCAAGTTCTCAGATTCCAGTTCCATCGTGCAATACACCATGCTAAACGAGCAGCTTTGTGGTGATATCTCAACATGGGACACTTTGACTCGTCTCGCCCTCAGTCCTGCTTGCTTTCAGCAGGTTCCTGACAGTTCTGGTGCTGAAATGCTGATTGGGCAACCACAGCTGTTTCAGACAGGTCTACCGGATCTGGAACGGTCCTGTACATCACCGGTCTGAGCATGTTTCTCGACTAAACAGCTTACGACAGTGTGATGATACCGGTACCCCAAATTCCAACCAATGGCATTACAAGACATTCCTGCATTATGCATGCCAATTATTTGCCATCTTGTGGCGTTTGAAAATCGCCTTTATGCCATGGTCACACAATGTCATGGAATATCTGTTTAAAACAGAGCTTAAGAAAGCAATTTTAACGTTATATATACTGCTGGATATGGACGTTGGATATACTGCTTTTAGAGATACTCGTTGGGTAGCATGCTGCACAGGCATACCATGCATGGCACGTTAGCTTTCGTCATGACTGATTACATCATCTCGAGAAAACATAATTCTTTCCGTAATTATATCTTTCAGGATATATATTGGGGTGTGCCAAGGTGCTATTGCTATCCTGAATGGTAGGACTTGGAATTTGTAGTGTCAGCAATTGAAGCATAGACATTTCCGAGATGGGTGTATCGAAACGTAAAGATATGCACCTGTAAGATATCTCTTGTTGAGGATCTATTATCATCCTCATCTCGGTTGTGTTCTTCTTTGGGACTTAAAAGACTGGGGAGTAAAAACCTTTGGTGGTGTTGGACTCCTGGCTCGCTTCTTTAATAGTTTCCTGACGGCCAATTCTGCAGCTGCTAACTTGGCTCGGATGTTTCCTGAAGTGTAGCTTGTAACCGTGAGCCACGACGTCTAGAACGTAGTGGTCGGGCGCAACTTGCTTCTAATTTTCGGCGTATGACAGAAGGTGCCCTCCCACTGGGCCCGGAGTCGGCGTTATGTTGAAAGACGGTAGGTATAAATCGTAGTCCATAGACGTAACCAGGTCGAAAGGGTCTATAACATCAGAGAGGGTTGTAAGCAAGTCAGGATGTTCTTTCCCCTCTGCCGCTTGATCTTCCATGGTGATTATATCCCCTTGGCTGGCAAAAAGAGTCCTGTGAAGATTGTGGCTTGTCGTACCTCTGTCTCGGTTGGAACTAATCCTTCCCGGCGGGGACAAACTTCTTCTTAGGAGACTGTTTGGACATAGATGACTTACCAGGGTCCTAGGGTTCCTTGTGAGACTGTGATGTCTCCCCGCAAGGTCTATGATTGAAGTCTCGAAACGCTGGGCTGTATCTTGCTTCACTTCATCGATCACATTTCTGAGCTTGCCATTGAAAGTTGTGGTTCGTGTGCGACGTCACGAACTTCT